TAGCAGATTCAGGGCAGATTTAGGGCAGATTTAGAGCAGATTCATAGCAGATTCAGGGCAGATTTAGGGCAGATTCAGGGCAGATTTGGGGCAGATTTAGAGCAGATTTCGGGCAGATTCAGGGCAGATTCAGGGCAGATTCAGGGCAGATTTAGGGCAGATACAGGGCAGATTTAGAGCAGATTTAGAGCAGATTCAGGGCAGATTTAGGGCAGATTCAGGGCAGATTTAGAGCAGATTTAGAGCAGATTCAGGGCAGATTTAGGGCAGATTCAGGGCAGATTTAGAGCCGATTTAGAGCAGATTCAGGGCAGATTTAGGGCAGATTCTGGGCTGATTCAAATCTGTTTCAGGGCAGCTTTAGAGCAGATTCAGATCAGATTTAGGGCAGATCCAGAACCAATCCAAGGCAGATTTGTGTAGATTCAGTGCAGATTCAGGACAGATTTAGTGCAGATTCAATGCAGAATCAGAGCAGATTCAGGGCAGATTTAGTACACCAAAATACACAGATCTGAGTGCATGCAGGTCAGAGTTGGACCTTGTTAAAGGTACAGGTAATAAAACCAGCACCCTTAGGTTTAACTGATGCCAAATGACCTTTTTTGCGTCATTATCTGGTTGTCCTTTATTTTGATAGGGTCCGTTTTGTTTGTTCCTTTTTCATAAATTCACAGAAATGTTTTCTCAGAAAGCTTCTCTGATTTGTTCTATTTGTAACAGGAATTTATTTGTGGATGATTCAGTACAAATTATATCCACTTTCATCTTCCCAAGGACGTTTTTTTTACTCGCTTTACTGTTACTGTTACAGTTTTTTATCCTCCTGCAAATCATTTCAGCTCAAGAGTTCACTTGGATTTACACTGTCATGCGCCTGTTTTTGTTTGATTTGGCTTTTATTTTGAGCTCCTTCAAATGAATCTTTGTTTGGTTGGTAATTTTTTTCCCTGAATGTTTTGCCCTCAGCTGTTTTTCAGCTGAGAGCCATGTGAGCTCTGCAGTGCATGAACTCATATTGAAGCCACGCACAGCTGCTCAGGACATTCAGTAGCCAAGTGTCCCATTACTCATCCAGTACTTGTGTGTTCATTTTACAGCTGACGCTCAATCTCTCTTATTGCATATTCTGTTTGTCCCCAATGAGGCTATATGCCGGGCACCTGCAGAAAAAATGTAAAGAGATATGGGGTGTCACCTTTAATATTGTGGCTCAATGCAGACATGAATTAAAGAATTTCAATTTTTTTCTTTAAAATTTGCCATGCACACCATCTCCTTTTACTACTGTTAATTCGTATAATTGTCTTTTTAACTAATATTTGAGTGGTCTTTGGGCTCACTGGATCCCCTTTGCTTCTCTCAATTTCAGTAAAAGTTTTTTGTTATAATTTATCAAACAAATATTTAAGTGTCATTTCCTCTTAAAATGTCAGCTGCGTTTTCTAACATGTGGGCTGTACATCAGTGACATTTGGATTTACAGCTTTAACATCACGGCACTGCAAACATACAATATTAATCTGCAGCTGAGCTGGTTGCATAATAATAAAACTGCAAACATTTTGTACCCAGATTTATTTATTTATTTATTTATTTATTTATTTATTTATTTGTTATCAGATGCAAAATCCATCACGGGATGTTCTTTGATATTTGAGCCTAATTTAATTTTTGGGATAATTATTAGATGTGTCCTCTGCTGTTTATCTTTTCAACCGGCTGATGAAGCAGGGGAAGGCGGGGCTTGTTCCTGAACGCAGGCAGCGCGGGGCGGTGGGGGAGGCGGGGTTTGTTCATTAACACAGCACGGAGGGGCGGTGGAAAATAACCGGAGCTAACACTGAACGGAACGGGGAGGAGAGGCAGAGAAACCTTGGTGCTGTCCTCCTGAGAGCTCTGCTCCACATCAGGGGAGGACCAACTATTTATCATTTATTCGTAACAGCTGTTTATTTGTAAAGAGAGCTTTTAATCAAATGGTTAGCACCATGATGGCTACATGCTCCTGCTACAGTTAGCATAACAAAGCTAACTCGTTAAATAGCCACGGAGCCGGCTGAGTGAGGAGCCGGGGAGGAGCGGAATGGCAAGAATTCACTCGGGTTGCCCTTCCAGAAGAGACCACGACTGACCCGACTAAACAAGTCCACATTTGTTTCTCTCCGAGTCGCTGGTAAGTACTAAAAACAAGAACGGATTCAATTAAACATTGGTTTGTGAAGTTAGCACTAGCTTACGAGCTAAATTGTTGTAGCTAAGTAATTCCGTGACCTAATTTCTGTGGTAATTATGTGTTAATGTTTATTTTTCGTACTATTATATAACATATTTAGAAAAGATTTAACAGAAATGTCATAATTGATCATTATGTTGGTAAAGTCTTTCTACTGTGTAAGATTTAATCAGCTGTTATATTTTGATAACATTTTTCATCACTGAATCAACGTTTTGACAAATATTGTTACTGTGTTTTGTCAGAAAGTAAACATATCCACGAGAAGTCCTTTTTGAATGAGGTTAAAATAAAAATCCGTGTGGGAGAATTATTTTCCTTGTGGGAATTTAAGTAAAAACCATTTATTCAAAGCAGTTTTATTTTCCTTTTTGTGACGCTTTATGTCAATTTGAAAGGAATATTTCAGTGAAACAAATCCTGTTTTAACTTGACATGGATTTAAAAACAATATGAAATAAGCTTTTGGGGATAAAAAATTCAGGATGTTTCTGTAGATACCACAGGAATTTATTGGAGTGCTGCACTAATTGTTGGAAGCAATACACATTTGTGCTCTAATTGATTAGGTTTTAATATACCTTTTTTTCCAACCAATATTACGTTTCTTAAAATAAAAATACATTTTCATGTCAAAAACACAGATTAAAAAGAAAACCACATTTCTTGGAACTTAATGGGAATGTTAAATTTTTATATTTTGTGTGTTTTTTATCAATCTTGTTCTGTTCTTGATTTTTTTTTATCTCTTTTGTTCTCAATGCAAAATAGTCTGTCATTATTGGAAATACAAAGCAGAGTCTTATTTAGTCAAATTTTCATCCAGCACTGACGGCTCATCTCACTGCAGCCGTATTTCAAAGCAGAAATGTTTTGTTATTCTGCTGCATCAGTTTCTTTATCTTCAAAGCTGTCCKATCAGCTCCAGCTTGTAATGGGTCTGGATCATAAGTTACAGATCCTTGTAGCAGATTCTGGTGAAGACATTCTTCAAGATGTGTCTGCAGACGTACGAAAAGTCCTCCGAGCAAGGTTGGCACTTGTGCTTTTTAAACAAGCCTCTCCGGTTTCTGTGTCAACAAAGAGGACACTTGTGCTAACGTTAGGTGATGACATCACATGATACAGCAGAAAGTCCCAAACATCTTTTTRACTCAGCATAACTGTAACTAGAGTTGTTGGATATCTTCAGCCTGAAGGTACTCATTGCAAAAAATAAAAAATCAAAGAAACAAAACCCACAGTTTGTGAGTGGCTCTCAAGTATGGAACAGCCAAAGTAGCTGAAACTAGGTCAACAATAGCGACTACTTCACAAAGATGTTTGTGATGGAGAAATCTGATCATTTTGATGTTTTATCATGTACTCGCCCTCAGATTTGTTGAGTATTTAGATGGGTTAAGTTCAAACAGTAAGCTCACTGCCTYGTGTAGAGGAGGTTTTGTTGATGGCACTCCACCTCTCTGCTTMAACCTTGATTTTTATTATTGACAGTTTTATTCAGTCTGTCTCCTTTCTTTAGAGGCAACACTTACATTTTCATGTAAATGTCCTTCCTCAGATTGTCTGCAGAAGTATCAGGACCAAACAAATGGTGCATGAGTAAAATCTAAACAAGTACTTAAGGAAACAGTAGAGGAATAAAATGGCAGGTTTCAGTGACCTAAATACATTTTCAGAAACCGTTGGAAAGGTCTTATTGAATCATTTTAACTCACTGAGTTAACTGTTTTCTTCTGCCATGTTTTTGAAGTTGCCGACTGARCCAGGATCATGATGGTAATTATATACTGCAGTAGTAAAGTGTTGTTTTAAAAGGGATGCTGTGGAGACCTGTTAGTATTCTGTCTGACCTAGAACTGGTTATTATAGTCCYCCTCTTCTGATCCGTGTCGGCCCGGAGGAGCAAAACTGAACAAAATGCAACAAAGCCAAAAACCTTCACAAGATGTAAGGTTTAAAAAAAAAAACACAACAGCAGAACTAAAAAAGTTTCAAAAGATATGTCCACACAACATATGGCTATTTTTAGTGGATGTAAAAAATTCAGATAAGTGAGCTTTTTTCTTAGTTTTGTTGTTGTGTTCTCGGCAGCGTTGCTGTGTTTCTGGTTTTGCTGTTGTGTGTTTGGATTTTGTTTTGCACCTCAGAGCCACRGTTGTGATCCCTTTAGCTCCCACCCATCCTGGCAGACACACAGTTCCACTGCATCGCTGCAGTTACAGACATGTAGCAGCACGCTGAGCAAAGAATTACWGAGAAGTCTGAGCTAAACATGGCACAACAACAAAACGACGACAAGCAATTCCTTTTACGTGACGTGTTTGGTTCAACATCTGGAACAATTTGTTTATGTGCTTTTTCTGTTTTTTTTTTTCCTCATCTGGAGATTGAATAGAGGCCAGAGAAAAGCTCTCAGCTCTGCAGATTTTTTTCAGCATGTGTTTTGTGTTACTTAAATTTTTCATACTGAGCAAAATCTGCTGTTTCAGTTGTTTTCTGAAGCGTCATCATGCTAAGCTGAGTGTAGCCGAGTTTTCTGCCCAGCAGTTCACAATGAAAAACCTCATCAGTGGTGTTGTTCTTTTTATGAATGGGAGTGAAGTGCTGCATCCATTGATGAGTGACATCATCAYTCATAGCTCATCCTTGTACTCCTGCCACTAACACTGTTTTCATTTTGATTAATCTTCCAAAAATCAATGTCTGCAGTTTTATTTTTAGTTTGCATGGTCAGCGTTGGGACAAAGATTGTATAAACAAAACTTGCAAATTAAAGTCTAAAAGATTTAATTGCCAACTCCAGCATGACAAATTAATAAATTTAAAATTATTAGTAAAAACTGGAGAGAAATTCTTCTTTTGCAGGAATTCAGAATGAGGAGGGAAATCAATACAACACAAATATTTTAAAATATAATTTGAGAGTATGGTTTGCTACGTAAAGAAAGCGTGATAAAAAAATGCAGGGTTTGCTGATCTGTTTCACCTCCAGGATTTGTTCCCAGCTACAATAGAAGCACATGTTTAAAATTCAGTAAAATAACAGAATTAAAGACAAAAACAAAATGAAGCTGGTGAGAATATATCATGATGAAGGAACAAAATTTGGCACAGTGTTATACATGAGTCCAGGTCAAATCTCCTCAAAGCTTATTCACTGGAAAATGTAGCAGACAGACAACCTGTCTAACTTTATAAAAGTACATTTATCAGATGCACCTTGACAGTTCACTGTATCATAAATGTTGTCTATTTCTTCTTTTCTGACCAGTTCTTTTTTCTTTTTTGGTCCAGGTTGTTGGTGTTACTGTAATCCCCATCATGGTGCAGAAGTATCAGTCACCTGTGCGGGTGTATAAGCACCCCTTTGAGCTGGTGATGGCGGTAAGTGGCTCTACCTATCATTTTCTGTCTGCGTCAATTTTAAATGCATGAGATGCAGAGCTATGCAATGCGGGCACCACAAAGGTCACTCTCGTGTATTCAGATAGGTCTCTTTGAAGCCTGATCATGATGGCTCCAATCAAACACAATTCAAGATCAGTTTTCAAGTTAAGCAGAAAAATAACTACCTCCGCAATGCCGCTGCAACACAAATCCCTTTTATCTTTTGGTTTTTCATTTTCACTGAACACTTTTTTTTCTTTTCTCCTGCAAGTTAAGGTGTCGAATCACTGCGCAGCACATTTGCACACCCGGTGTTTGAATACACAACACGGTTGTGCCCCTATGTCGGACAGAAATCCTGCAGAGACTTGGTGGTTGTCGTCCATTTACAGCATAAAATATTCAGCGCCATGCATGGCTTTTCACAGCTGACTGCATCGCTGTATGTTTTTGACACAGCTTACAGCTCTTGTTGAAAAGATCAAACACAGATTAGCGTTTTTGTTGTCTGTTCTTTTAAGGCATTTTTCTGCAACTTCTGCATCATTTATATTCTTTGGGTTAAAGTCTGAATTTCTCCTTTTTGGTGTTGACTTTGCCACAACCTGCTGTAGAATGAGTTTGTTAGTCTGGGTTCAGTGAAGAACAACATGACTTTACTGTCTGAACATCAGATGATATGTTTTGTCTTTGTGGTTGGAGGTGATGACAATTGGTTTCATCTAATATTTCTGCTAATTTATGTAGATTTTTAGTAATTCTTTGGAAGTCAGTTTGCATTACTACTGATTAATTTTTGCATGCTGTCGTGTGTTTTAGTATGCAATGATAGACATGGACCATTTTTTTAAAAATGGAAAGCAGCTTTGCTGGTGAGCGGGAGGATGCAGGGAGGACTTAAATCTCTTTAGCAGTGGCTGGACTGAACGGTGTGTAAACAGATGTCTATAAATAAAAAGCAGGCACCTGAACCTATAAGTCCACACATGCTACCAAGGGGGTGAAATGGGAATAATGGAACGCCAGCACTGCATGATTTTTAAGCTGGAGATGATCCACCTTGTGGAGACTTTGCAGCTAGGTCACATCTGGAACATGCTGAGTATTTTTAAACTGGGGCATGAACACATACGGTGAGCATTTGTCTTCTGTGACACAATGAAGACGCAGCATGGTTATCATCTTGAAGTTATTTTCATGTTAGTAACGGAGAAAACTGTTTAATTTGTAACTTTTTTTCCTGCAGTGCTTTTGCAGATACTGCAGAGCAGACTCAGTGGTGCGTCACAACACTCGCTGGCTCTTTTTCTCATAGCTGAGCCAGAGAAACGTCTCTCCTCTTACTTCCTCCAWAGCTGTTCTGTCACGATTGCAGCTTAACAGCATAATCACATGATACTGTGATCTGACAAGCGGCTTCTTCAAGCCGAGACTGATTTGCATATTAGGCAATCAGTTTCCAAATGTAGGGCTGGTTCCAGATACTATCAGCATTGCTGAACACGCACATATTTTTTGTTTCTTTCTCTGGTTCTTTTGTTTTGAGTATGACTTCTCTCTCTTTTTTTTGAGATTTGAATGATAAAATTAAACATTTAGCTTTACCCAGTGTAGCATTCTGTGTCCATTTAAATTTATTTGGATACTGTTACACATTTGAAACATGTCTTTTCTAATTTTAGGCTAAAAACCAAGACGATATTCCTCTGTGTAAGCCTTTGGAATACATTCCTTTAGTCCGTTTGAAATGCTTTGGCTCCTCGCTCAACCCTGCGGAGGCTCTCTGCTCGCTGACAGGTGCTATCAAAGTTTTTCAACCTCTGCTTCAGCAGCGTTAGCCAGAAGTCTACTCCTCTTGCATGAGCAAGGCTTGGGTCTCGAATGCCCTTCAGATGTTTTTCTTCTGCTGCACTCAGTGTTCCTTTTTCTAACCTGGTATTCTTGGTATTCTTATCGCTGACAGCGTTTGGGCATATTTGTCACTCATCACCTGGCAGGAAAAAAAGTTTGAGCTTGACGATCTTTTTTTTTTTATTACTGCAACAGAATGCCAGACTTTTTCTCTAAAAAAAAAGGTTCAATTTTAATGACTTGAAATTACCTGTTCCCAAAGCTTTGGTCCTAACACTATTTTAATATTTCATCATTTACATCATTGTTACAATGAGCTGGAAACATCAAAATCATCTAGGGACTCTACGCTCTGTTTCTAACTCTGTTGTGGTTAAATATCAAGCATGAAGGTATTTTTCATCTTTCACGACTGAGTTGGTTACACATAATTCAATTACAGTGAGTATTGGCCATGATTTTTATGCCCAGTTTAAAAAATAAAAAGATCATGGCTTATTTTTTGTTCACAGCTTGCAGAACTGTTTTCTAGGCRGTGCACATTTGTTCTCACCTTGGCAGCCACCCCCACGTTTTAATATCAACTACTGGAGTACACTTTTAAAATGAAGATGGGCCGATTTGAACCAGTATTTTTAAATCACGGACAAGTTTTCTGGCAGAGGAGCGCTTCGGTGTAGGTGTTAAAATACAGCTGAAACATTTTAATCCATACTGAAAGCCTCACTGCATCACAAGTTTTGTTTAATTTCATACCGAACTGAAGACAGGGATCAACATTGTTTATTTTTATCGCCCTCATCTACAGCCGTCCCTTTGTTTGTCTCTGCTGCAGCATCTCAATAACAGGAAATGTAGTCAGTTCTGTTGCTGTCATCATGGCTACAGCCCAGTGTCAGAGCCTCTGGCCTGTCCTCGGGGAGTCTCAGTGGAATGTCAAAAGCTCAACACAACACCCCTGTTGTTGTCGTTAGCCTGGGGAGCCACAAGCTTTTAATACGTGAAGGACTTCAGTAGCCAGAGGAGAAAAGAAACGCACACAAAAAACGGTGAATGTATGAAAGTGGTGGACAATAAATACCCTCAACTTCCCCAATAGCGGTAAAATAATATGCGTGCTGCAGAAAGAGAACTTAATCGTTCCATGGAAACGTTTGTGTTTGCAACTAATCTGTGAGGGCAAAGTGCTTTGGTCCTTCCCCAGTTCCAGTCCAGTTTCTAGAGAACACGGAACAGGATGTACAGTGGTGTCTGCTGGGCTTGAATGCACCATCAGCAACAGAGGATGTTTCCTTCTTGGTGACTAAACTGTCTTAATCAGTCACAGCACACTGTAGAAACTACTGTTTTTGCAACAAATGGGTGGAGAAAAACATCCTGGATTGTCTTCATCATGAATCATTATTTACTAAAAGTATTACATACTTTCTCATGAATCTTTTGAAATGACCCAGCAGAAATAAAGAGCCCTGTTTTAGATCGTATTTGGTTAAAATTTGAACAAATTCAAGCTCTAGCCGATGTTCCAGCACCTCTCTAATTATGAGTTAACACAAGTCAGGTTTTATGGTTAAAGCTGTTATTTCACACTCCTCTCTCGAATTCTTTTTATGACCTTATTGTGTACGACATAAAGGTCGCTGGAACTTGTTGTTTCCTGAATGACGAGCTGGGACCAAAGGGGCGTTAATGAGGCCCTTAGTGTATGAAAAAAAAGTGTTGTGTGACTCGGATCCTTTCACCTTTTTATTCTTTTACTTTTTACACCCTGTACACAATGTTTTTGAAAGAGGATCAGCTAAGTTTTATGTTTCACATTTAATTTAAAAACAGATAAAATCAAATGGGCACGTGATGGTTGCTGGCAGCCTCATTAGCACGCCACCAAAAGGCAAAGGTGGTGGATTGTTTGTTTTACAAACTTTAAGGTCAAATTGGTGATTTCTGGACAGAAGATAATTTTAGTCTAAAACTCTAAAATGAAAGAAGGTGCACTGTGTTCCTTCAAGTCCACCCCAATGCCCTTGTTTTGTACTTCCTGTTGCCTGCATCATTTCTGCGGTTTATTTCTGTTCTCAGAAACTCACTGAAGTGTTTGCACACAATGACTGTAAAGTGAACCACCCCACTGTACAGGAAACTATATCATTTTGCTTCTTTTATGCCACGTGACTATTAAGTACATTCTATTCAAGAAATAACACGTGCCATCAGATCAGCTTTCTGTAAACGATGACACTAAAACTCAGCTGGTGATACCGGCACTCTGATATCTCACGCAACATGAAGAGARGAGTGAAGACATTGTGGTTAATTAGGAGTTTAATCTTTTGGGGGTTCTGGTTAATTTTAGCCAGCTAGTTTTGCTTTTTTTGGATCATCTATGGCACAGTTTTCTACATGTCAGCTCTCCAGCATGTTGTTCTCACAGTTACAGCCATGCCAGTGTGTCTAAACCTGGCTCATCCTACTGTCCCCCTTCCCTTTGTGTGGCCTGGCTCTCTGCAGATTGGGCCTGCTGGGGTGACATCCTGTCCCACCATGTCCTGACCCACTTATGCTCAGGTCTGGTTAAGGCTTTTACAGCCCAGTTCTCTGCTGCAGAAGCATCCCGGGCTTTATTCTGTTGGTTTAATCCATTACTGAGCTGTCAGCCRGCCTATAACTCGCTTCATGGGCTCAGACACGTGCATCTACTGTCCTTTGTGTTTTAGGAGGAAAATTGGGCCTTTTTTTGTTTGTCATGGTAAAAAGATCCCAAAACTAATAAAAGGAAATCTGATAACTCATTCACGTTAAGTATTTAAACAGCTCCTCACGGGAGGTACATTAGGCTATAAATTTTTTGTCTGCTTTAGTGAAACACTTATTTAGTTTCAAGTATGCCTTTTATCATTTTTATTTTGTCATCATTTTGCTTGTCTGTTTTAATTCAGAGTATTTTCATTCCCTCTGAATCACTCTGTCAGACTGTTTCCTGCAGTGTCTAATTCACTTACTCTGTCAGCCAGAAACAACGAAGAGTTACGATCTGAGGCAGGGAGCTTTATCGTACAGGGTGCTCCTTCAGAGAAAAAAAAACAAACAAAAAAAAAACACAGTGCAGAACCGTGCAGTCACGTGACTTCACAAGCCTGTGGGAAACT